ATACCAGCGAGAAGTTTAGAGACGATGTTGATTAAACTAATTCCTCAATGATTTTCACAAGAGGATCCATCACCTTTGTAAATCGGTATGATCACCGACTCATCATAGTGCATAGGACGGTGTATGAACGCTGGTTAGGAATACTTCCAGAAGATGGAATACTTCTGTGTAATAAATGGGACTGCTTATCCGGAGACTTTTGCTCAGCCCTCATTTACCTTTAGAGGACCAGGGTCCTTTCCAACCTATCTTTGAGTAATTGGCTGGTGGTGCCAAGCACCCACACTCGGGGATGGTTTCTGGATATATAGTATCCTCGAGGGCTTCATGCGCGGAGACCGATGAGTCAATAGGATGGCAGTAATTCCTGGAAAGTATCAGCTTTGTCACTTTACCTTATGTTATTACCTATTTGAGATCACTTCTCGTCTCTCACGTGTGTTAGAGAGCATCTGTGTGCGGTCGTTTTTTTGACTGCTGTTCGTTTTTGTTGCTCCGCGAAGGTCTCGCAGAAGACATAACCAGCCGATGGTTAATAAATCGCTCCTAGATTATCAGCTGTCCTCTTTGAGTTCGCACCGCAGTTTCCTGATAAGCATAGTCCTACTGGGTTACTGGGAGCTGGGCACTTGAATTCCTGACAGTGAAAGGAGTTGTTACTGGATTATACACGACTAAAATGATCATCCTTTACTCACTAGGTATCACCATTAGCACGCTTTGTTGAGGATTTTAGACCATGTGGACTGAAATCGGCCAGTAAGCGGCGTAATCCAACGGTTATCCGCTCAGTCCAGTTTTTAAAACCATTAAACATGCGCCGATTTTGGTCGCCCATTTGAATTACAGAGCAGAATGGAGATTGGAATGCAGAGAGAGGAACCAACGAGAAGACGGAAGATTCATATAGACTGTGGTTGTAAGAATAAGGATGAGATCCCTGAGTGCCACTGTTTGCGGTACTCAGACATCATTCAGTGTCTCTATCCCCCGATTGCCATTATCCTGGGGTCCCCATCCAGGGGTTTCTACGTAACCCAGTGCCCTGGTTAGAGTTTTTATACCCTCGTGCCAGGTCTGGCGGACGCATGGCAGATGAACTGTCGACAGGCATACAAAAGGCTCGGTTGGCATTTGCCAACTTGAGACATCTGTGGCGCCGTCGCGAAATCCGGCTGTCCATGAAGGGTCAAGTGTATGCTGCAGCAGTTCGGCCAGTGCTGCTTTACGTATAGAAACTTGTCCATTACGGGGACAGGATAAAAATAGACTGTCGGTGTTCGAACACCGCTGTCTACGTCGTATTGTGGGAATCTTGTTTTTTTAGAACCGGGCAAGCAATGTTGGTGTTGGGCGTAGAGTTTTAGGTAACCGCGGTAGTCCATTGGAACAAATGGTCGATCTCTATGGACTACGCTGGTTGAGACATGTGTTGCGCATGTCACCAAATAGGTTGCCACGGCGAGCGATGTTTGCCGAGGCAGGCAGCGGATGGAAAAAGATCAAGGGCAGTGAAACTAAGACCTGGCACGGGGGTATGAAAACCCTAACCTGGGTTACGTAGGAACCCCTGGATGGGGACCCCAGGATAATGGCAATCGGGGGATAGAGACACTGAATGATGTCTGAGTACCGCAAACAGTGGCACTCACGTATCTCATCCTTATTCTTACAACCACAGTCTATATGAATTCTTTATCTTCCGCTTGAATTTACTCCTAATATTCCGATCTGCATTCTGCTCTTTTATTCAAATGGGTGGCCAAAAGACAGCAATTAAAACCGGCACACGAAAGTGCATGGTTACTGGTTGTAAAAACTGAAACTGGACTGAACTGCAAATGATCTGAATCTTCAGTTAGCAGCACAATGTTGTCAGCATGCTCCATATCTGACAGTCTACCACCGGGGAGCAAATAGATGCCAT